TCACCAGCCTAAACTTATGACCTCATCCCCAATAAAATGGCTAGTTCCCAATATGCTTATCCTACCTTGATAGGATACACAATCAATTGACACAATTTCTAATAGTCTTTTTGGTGAACAGCAATTAACTATAAGTGAACAGTAGATCACTAGGCATTTGAAGAAACTGTCCAGTGTGAAAGACTGAACAATGCAGGGCGGGGGGGTGGGGGGGTGGACGGGGGTAGGAGAAAAGAAAGCAGGAAAGCATCACAAGTACATTTTATTAAAAAACAAAGTGTCTTTAAAATCCTGAGATATAAGAAAAGTTAAAACATCCATGAAACAAGAACAGGATGCTATAAATAGGGAAGAATTAGAGAAAACAAAGACCTAGCGAGTCTGCCTTCTAATTAACGACAATGTTTGACAGTAAAACGGGATTTAAAAAATGGAGAAGCTATGTCCTTGGCTTATTTGGATAAAGAGTTTTGCGACTGAGATAGCTCACCAAGTGTCTATCCAGTAAGAAAAAAATGCCAAAGCAAAGCACAGTATTGAAACAGTTCAGAACATGGGGATAAAAAGGGAACATACATTAAAAAAAAAAAAAGAGGAAAACTGATCACACAAGGATCAGAAGCACAGCGGTTTTTTCAATAGCAACCATGGAAGCCGAATGATACTGGAGATGCACTTTAATATTCTGAGCAAAAATATGTATTTTTAAACTAGAATTCTATAAGCGGCCAAAGTATCAATTAAGTTTTGGATGGAATAAAGGCATTTGGTGTGGAATGAGCTCTAGGCTTCAGTCAAGTAGAAAAAAAGGAAACAGTTCTCATGATAGAAGTTACCCAAGGACAACACACTGGAAGCAGACAGCTGATCTGGGACACAGGATGGAGAACGTGGGAGGAGGTCTGTGGGGAGACCCTGTGGCTCCAGCCCGGTCCAACTGGGCCGGAGCCTGAGGCCTCCAGGAAGGTGCCGCCAGAGCGGATTAAATATCTCAACAACATTTAGAAGAATTTAAACATTCTGTTAGAAATTTTAAGAAGAATTCATGATAGGTGTAGACAAACATAAGTACAAGAGACGGGTTTATTATTAATTTAAAGGAGGATGAATATGGTACCGGAACAGAAGTGTCATCATAATAACATAACACTCTGCTCGCAGCCTGTGTTCCCATAGTTATAAGAGCTCAAATTCTGAATATTAATATGACCGATGCGTCTAAAGTCATTACACTGGAAGGATCCAAGAAGGGAGAGCGAGGGGAGAGCTGGAGCAGAGGCTATAAAGGGCTTGATTGTCTTCTAAGGTAGGAAATCAAAACAATGTCTAAAATTGTGGTATAAGTACATATATAGTTAGAAATATGAAAATAAATCCCAAAAGAAAAGTATAAAGCAGGCTTGCAGAAATATTTAAAGGTGAGGAGGGCGTGTGGTTAAGAAAGCACAGTGGAGGCAACATTTTCTGTATTTCATTATAGGTTTTGAAATTCTTCTAGTGTCTATCGGAAATGTAACATAAAACCATGCCCAGCTGGTGTGGCGCAGTGGTTGAGCATTGACCCAGGCACCAAGAGGTCACCGGTTAGGTTCCGGGTCAGGGCACATGCCCAGGTTGTGGGCCTGATCCCCAGTGAGGGGCGGCCAATCGGTGTTTTCTCTCATCAATGTTTCCATCTCTCTTTCCCTTCCTCTCTGTCTAAAATCAATAAAGAAAAAATATATTAATAAATAAATAAAATCATTTTTCAGGTATTACTTTGATAAATATTTAAAAATCATTTGGTTGTTTAATACCAGTTAAATTTTGGATAGCAGATATACCAACCTAACCACAGTTATAAACTTTCATGTAACTTAACTCTAGTTTCTCTGTCTTCAGAATCTAGTGAATTTAACTGATATATGTAAGTGCTAAGGAGTATTGTATTTTTTAAAAATTGATTTCAGAGAGAGGAAGGGGGAGGGAGGGGGGGAGAGAGAGAGAGAGAGAGAGAGAGAGAGAGAGATTGATGCAAGAGAGAAACATGAATTGGCTGCCTCCCACAGGTGCCCAGATGATGGATCGAACCCGAAACCTGGGTATGTGCCCTGACTGAGAATCGAACTCACCACCTTTTGGTGTATGTGATGACACTCCAAGCAGCTAAGCCACCTGACCAAAGTGGAAGTATTCTTTATGAAGACACCTAGACCCTCCCATAGATTGTAGGTTCCATTTACACTCTGATGCCTATTTATAATTTTTAGATTTGGTACCTCCTATTTAACTAGGATGCTATCTTATGGCCACCAAATATTAAAGAATAACAAAAGGAATAAATGATTCATAGATATGGTATGTATAATAGCATTTTAAACATTAAGTTATATTGATCATGTCGTCTAAAGGGCAGATCTTTAAAATATAAGTTGCAATTTTCAAACTAAAAAATGTCTAAGTCCAAGACCACTTACTAGAGAATCAAAATGTTTGCAGATGGCTATTATATTGGCAAAGAGCCTTTATTCCTTTCATTGTTTTTCTTGCCATTTCTAAGTGAATCATATTTTTTAACAATTAAATATTGTCAGTTAATTTTTCAGTATTACACATCTCAAAGTAAAGATGGGGTCTCCAAGAACATTTGAAAACTCCCTATAGCGACGGGGTGGGTATAGTAGCCAGATTTTTAAAAGCAGAATTACTGCTACATGAAAATAAAGTTAAGACAGAGGAAGGAGAAAATGTAACCGTTGCAGTTTTCTAAACTTAGAGATGATAATTCTAACAATGATAAAATATAAAGAAACAGGTAGTGGGTGCAAAAACACCAAAATAAAACGAAGAAGACCTCATTGTCAGGCAACACTACTGCTCTCTTTTCTCTAAGAATTGAGGACTCGCGGTACAGAGGGCTCTCTCTCAGGCGTCCTTGCCACGTCCTCGGTTTGGACCATCACTACTCTTTTTATCTTTTATTTCTGGGTTTGGATGTTGTTTTCTTATCAATAATGGAATTTTAGTTTTTCCCCACAACTTAATATTGTGCTTATAACCTGTTAGGTCAGTTCTGACTAGTTTACACCATCAGATAAACGTTTCTCAGCTTCCTAAATCGATTCTTCCAGAGAAACTGCCTCTAGACAAATTCAATCTCTTCGGTTTATAGCTATTTTCAAAATAATTTAGAAGTTCCCTGGAACTCCTTTTGGGTTTAGGGATCTCCTGTACTTTTCATCACATCTTGAGGTAAATATTTCTTCACACAGTCGCATGTTGTAAGTAATTGCTTGGGTAATGAGATTAGACACTTCCAATTCCCTTCCGAAGGCAGTGACTACTACTGTAATGCAACATCTTTGTGCTCCAAAGCTTGTGGTAGTTATGGAAACATAGCACGAGTATTTCTTTAACTAGCATAGCTGTTCTTGTGGGTTTTCAATGCTAATGTTCACTGACCACTAATTTTATGTATCTCCAGGCAAAACTGTATTTTATTCATTACAGAGCAAAACACATTTTGGGGCTCTTACAGATGACTGCATGGAATTCAGTGGAAAACCGATGTTTATCTGAGCTTTGCAGGACAGAAGTTTACATGCACACTTTGAACAATTTTTACTCTTCAATTCTTTTAATGATGGATGAGATTCTCCTGGTTTTGCCATTTAGGGCTTCAAGCTGCTCAGCATCGTGAGGAGTATTAGCAGAGATTACTCGGTACTCAGAGTGACGTTGGTCCACAGTCCCCATGAACACCCTGACGCTCTCAGTGTGAGGGACTCAGGTCACGGCTCCTCTCTGCATCACGCACTCCCCTTACACCGTGGGTGGCCCTTTCCAAACTACAAAGAGTTTCCTTAGGGACTTATGTAGGCTTCTGACGCTCCCCTCAGGTGTGTTGTGGAGTAGCACCAAAAATAAGGTCTTAGCGCATCATGCGTAGAACCAGGAGATTCTTTTACTGGCACAAAAAAGGTAATTTAAAAATCACAATGATCTGTTGTATGTTGAAAAGAAAATCACACGGTATCTGCAATAGTGAAATATTTTATAAAGATACAGACATTCACACACACACACACACTTAAGTCTTATGACTGCCCCCATTAAGTGTGTGCGTGTGTGTGTGTGTGCATAACATATATCTACACAGAGATTTGAATGAGACTTTGATGCCTCCTAAAGGAATGTTTCATTTTCTAGTATCTTTAGAATCCTTGTTTCCCTAGTTCTCTGTCCTTTCTTTGCCCTCTCAATTCTCCACAGCTGCCCTGTAGTATTTTTCTTACCTCGTTTACTCAGCCATCGTTATTATCCATAATTTTCTCCTTCTTAATAGTTTCTCCACTATTTCTGTAACACTGATCTTTCAGTTTTTAACCGATTCATTAAATACTTCAGCTAAAGAGTCCCTTGGTTCTTAAAGTGGAAGAAACATAAATATCATAGCAAAATAGGTTGTTTTTCTTTCTAACTTTGATTGAGTGTGCATATATATATATATATAATTATATATTTAGCTATTCTTTTAATAATAAGCTGAAACTCCAAATATCTCAATTTGATATTTTTAAGAGTGGAAACTGAAATGTCATTGTATTACATTTTCTAATATAAAACAAACAAACAAAAAAGTACCCCTGATCTTGATTATAATAGGCACTGGTTAAATGCATCATAGTAGAATGAGCAATAAACTTTAGACGAACATAGAAATCTCAAACAGATTTTGAGAAAGAGAATTGTTGACATTCTTATAAAAAAGCAAAATCCCATAAATATATAAGTAGAGTAGGTGAATTAACATTGCAAACATTTTTTTTTCTTCTTCCCATCAAAGATTTCTTCTTGGAGACAGACCAGAAAACAAGACAATTCCAGTCTGTCACTGCTCAGCACAAGTCAAAAAAAACCCTGCCCTTATATGGCCTGGTATTTAGTATTAACAAAAAATACTTAGGAACAAAGGAAAAGTTGACATAAATAGCAATTTTTCATTTAAAAGAGAGTTTTACCGAAGACAGTCAGCTCTGCGGGATCGCTGTCCCTCTCCCCCACCATGTTGGCGCCAACACAGGTATACATCCCTGCATCACTCTTCCTGGTATTGGAGATCATCAGTTTTCCACCACGGATCTGTTAAAGTTTTAAAGAAGAAAAGAGAATGGAAAGGAGTATTTAAGCTCACTATTTGTTTCCCTAAAGGAAATGGCTGAGTGTCTAAGACTCAAAACTCTCCCACTATTTTGACATCTGCATGGGTCCATTTTTCTCTTAAATTATCTGCCTTTGGAAGCCTCCAATTCCCTTTCTTCTTCGTCTCCTGCCTGGTCTTATTTTGAGTCTTGTGACTGCCTCCATTAAACACCAAAAGTTGGTCTTTACTCACTAATTTGATTGGATAAATTGCTATTGACATTTGTCATCAGAAAGGAGCACTAGATATCTGTGTTGTATAATAAAATGAATCTGCCTGACACAGGGATTCCACAGGGATTTGCTGAATACCTCACCTCCATGTGCTGGGCAGTTTTAAGGCACTGGAGATTCGGTAGTAATCCAAACGTAAAAGTGTCTGCCTTCATGGGGCTTACATTGCAATTGCTTGTACTAATTATCTTCATCTCATCTTAGTTTTATTTGTGAGATAATTTCTGAAGAATAGAGCAGGTTGGATAAAAACCAATCAAATTTTTTGAATGATGACTATGATTTGGTAAAAATCATTGGGTTTTAATAGTTGCTCTCTAAATGTCTTAAATATGAAGCATTTACTGACCGAATACACAAATGTAATAATCTTAAGATGTGTGTTTGTTAAAGAGGGCATTAAAGGAGAATTAGGTTTTCAGTAAGTGTATCATTAACTCATAAGTTCTTTTCCAATTTTGGTGGGTTTTTTTGTGTGTGTATTTACCTAATCCAACAATGTTCACTTCACAATGACCTGGTGTTCTTAAAGAGGTATGAGATGAGAAGATGAGAACATGCTCTTTTCCTTGGTTAATTTTTAAATTCATAGGCAAACAAAACTCATGTAGGTATGTTCTCATCAGAGATATTTCAGGCTCTAAAACTTGTCATGTCATAGAAAGGAAACTCTGGCTTTATTTTCTTTTTACCTGGGAAGAAAATGGCCTTCAACTTGTTCTCAATTATATACAGTAGAGCACAATGAACTCTACGTTATAAACATGAGCATGGAGGCTATTTCTCCTTCCCTTAAAGGTGAGTCTGGCGATATGACTTGGCTTGATCAATGGAACTAAAGCAAATGTTCACCGAAGAGAAGGTGCTTGCACATTGGGACTTGTCTTCTCTTGCTGCAGCTGCAACCCTGAGATAGCACGGGAACCAGCCGAGCTGGTCTGCTGGACAGCTCGAGGCTTAGGGAGGAGGGTGGAGATGCCCAGCTGAGAGTCAGTCAACTGCCAGACATGTGGTAAGGTCACCCTAGTTCGTTCAGCTGTCAGCAGCTCGCTCTCCAGCCGCAGAAGCACGAGGAAGCCTAGCGCAGGTCAGCCATGCTGGCCCAGGACGAAGGCTGGCAGCTAACCCTCAGAAGCATAGTCTAAATAAAATGATTATAACAAGCCCATGTGTTTTGAGTGGTTTGTGACACAGCAAAAGCTAAGTGATACAAAAATAACCTAGAAACCTTGAACATTGATATTCTTCTATCACCAGGAGCCCATTTTCATAACTTTGGTATCCAAGCACAGACCATTAGCAACCAAATACTCTAGGGCAATGTAGATCCCCAGAGTGTCAGCAGTTCAAGCCAGAATACAAAGATACATGTTGTGACCTGGTACATGCTATGATAAAACTAACAATGTGCCCATGAGAAAACAAATTCTCTTTTATTAATGTTTTTTCCTTATTGATTTTAGAGAGAGAGGAAGGGAGAGGGGGTGAGAGATAGAAACATCCATGAGAGAGAACATCGATTGGCCGCCTCCTGCATGCCCCCCACTGGGGAATCAGGCCTACAACCTGGACATGTGCCCTGACTTGGGATCAAACCAGCAACCTCTTGGTGCATGAGTCAACGCTCAACCACTGAGCCGTACTGTCCAGACCATTAGATATTTTTAAAGATAATAGAACCCAGACTATATGGACCTTTGCTAAAAATGGAATTTTTTTCAGTTGAATGAGGTATTATTTTTAATATATTCACTCTCAATTATTGTACTGAATATAAAAAATTATGCTAAGAACAATGTCGGAAGGTTGAGGCATCATCTACTATTTCAGTGGACTGGTTTTCACAAACTTCACATACAAATGTGGAGTAGAACCTCTAAAAAATAAAATAAGTGTATGTTCTTCCTTTATCTACCTCTTTACCATTTTCTGGGTGTTTTATTTTGAATATTAACAAATGGACACACCTGGTCACCTTGAAAACACACTATTTTTCTGCAGGAGCTAAACGCCAGAACGAGTCAGGCATTTTTATTTTGATTTTACTTTATATCTTTTAAACTTTGAAGTGAATACATGTATAAAAGTTCAATTTTAAATATTATTAAATTGGAAAAGTGCTTGAAATATTCATCACCTCGAATTATTTGCTCTTCTAACTTTTCTTAAGCACAGAAAGAAATGTTCTAGTTAGCATGGTTATGGCTGTCGTTCACACTTGAACACTCACATACTCGTGAGCAATAGGTGCACTTGAAGATCTTAAAAACAGCCAATATGGCAACATTGAACTCTAAATATATATTTACATATTCAAGTTGGTGCAATTCTTAATTTATTATGTACACTTGATTTATATAATTTTTGTTTCCTTGAAACCTCATAACAAATTTATTGTTTTGGTTCCCCCATTTCAGTCCTTCCAATACAGTGTAGAAGGGAGTTAGGATTCAAATGCAGTTTGACTATTTCATTCACAGTAAATAAAATAAGTAAAGACATCAGTTTTAAGACTTGCAATTCAGTCTCTGTAGGTGTTCATTTTAATTTCACTCACACTTATCCTTTCTTCCTTGTCATCGATTCGAACTTTGTCTTTTTTCCAGTAGATGGTGGGCTCCGGGTGTCCCCGGGGGGGCTGGCACTCCAGGATGGCGGGCTCTCCAGCTGCCACCACCACGTCGGTGGGATTTTGCCGGAAGTCATCTCGTAACACTGAAGAAACACAATTGTAGTGCAAGAAAATTCAGTGGCAGTCACTGCAGCTTTCTCTTACAAAAGGCAACTTCAAGTCTCAGCTACTTTGTTCTAAAAAAATTGCCAGGGCATTTACTGACAGCATAATCAACGCCCAACTTAAAATATCTAGAGCCAACCAAAATATTCCTCAACAGGAAATTGGCTGTGATAATGTGCCTTTGCTACACAATCTTATTTAAAAGCAAGGCAAGTCTAAGGAAAATAAGATGAGAAATGTTCATGGTATAGTTCATAAATAATTACATTACTCATAATAAAAACTCAAAGCACAAAAACTCTATGTAGTATCATCCTATTTTCTATTTTTAAAAGTGCACATACATATGCCTATATAAATACATTAAAATAAACTGTCAAATTATACGTAAAACAAGTCGTGTGCACAGGTCTGTGAGCACGCAGGCATGTCTGTCGGGCGGGGACGAGGGTGAGAAGCCTTTGAGAAAGCTCTTTCTCATGACATGAATATGGACAAGATCCACACTGTTTTCATTACACTTCAGAAGACAGACTCATTGTTCACCCTCGCAACGCACTAGCACCCACATACACAGGGTACATTTCCATTCTCCCTGCATCTCCACCTGCCGCGCGACATCTGGGCAGCGTGACATTCGGAGCAGAGATATCCCTTGTAGCAGTCTTGCCAGTCTGAATTTCCCCTCCTTTCATTAGGAGAACAGCAGGTTGGACCTCCGTGGCAACCTCTGAAAATTGGCATGCCTGGCTTTCCAAATGTCACCTATCTGTGTGCACTGTTCTTCCCCTGGCAAGATGAGAAGCCTGGAGAAATAACTCTGCCCCATCACATTGCAGAATGCCTAGTTCATTTAGCAAATAAGGGCAAACATTCAAAAAAGTGGTTGAGCCCAGGTAATATACCTCATACCTCAACTGCCTCTGTTTTCCCTGACTTCCTTGACTTTTCCTATTCTTTGACATTGCAACAGTGACAGGTGTGTTTCCTAAATGTACCTATGGGTAAAAAAACAAATAGATACACTCACACAAATATAGATGTGTGTGTGTGTATGTTTATGTAGCATACATATCCATACACACACCTATACATGTTACGCACACATGTACTGCACACACACACACACACACACACACACACATTGGTCAAGCTATTTGAAATCAAAATTAGGCAGCTTGTGCTGGCCTGTTATGTAAATCAACTGCTGTAAACGTGGATTAGGCCGAAGCAACTGCCTTGGTGCCCAGTAAGGAGACCCACTCAGCACTCTGCTTCCTCCTCGGCCCAGTCTCTCGGTTAATTGCCATTCTCCAAATAAATACAAATCCCGTCCTGAAAATAGCTCCAGAGAGACAACTGAGTGACTTTTAGGGCTTTTCTTTTCTTCTCTTGCAAAACCTCCTCTAACAGGGTTTTCCATTTTAATGAAGTCAGGCCCTTTCCGCGATGAGGGAACCTGTCTCCTATTGAAGGAGCGGTAAGAAAGAAATCAGCACAAATTGCTGTCTCGCAGCTTATAAGCTGATTCATTTACTGCCTTAGCTGCTAAGGAAATGTGTTCCGTCTTAGCACGGTGCACTGCACCGTTTCTGGTCCTCTTGTCTAACTGGCAGGGAATGTGTGATTTGTTTGTGAAGGATTCGCTTCTGAATGAGCTGAGAGGAGTGTGCATTTCAATGTGACACTTGGGCAAGGGGATGAGAAGAGGCTTGTGGTTCCCTCTCGCAGGTAAGTCCTCCTGGGAGAGCAAGCTGGTGACGCGTTTCTATTCTCAAGACAGAACAGCTGCCTCTTTATGCAACGTTAAGACATGGAGAAATGTGGTAACAGGGTGGTGAGCATCCCTACAATATCCGGGGCTGGCAACCAGGGGGCTTCGGCAGGCCTTCAGTCTGTTCCTCAATGACACATCTGGCCAGCTGAGGGGCCTTCTCCAGGACTGGTCTCCTAACAAATGACATGCCAAAAACCTCTACTCAAATGGTACTTAGGACCAACGCAAATTATTCAGAGACACAGTGCACACCAATTTGCAACAAGACAAATTAAGGGGAAAAAAAGGTCCTTTGATACGGGGGATGAAAAAGAGACAAACACCATCACAAACTAGGGGCTGCTCCTCTTAAACAATGTGACCTGTGTCTGCAGCACATTCACAAAAAAGGGAACGACGTCATTTTGCAAATGAAGCCAAGAAATCTAATATCAACTGTAATTTTAGGCTTTTAGACTATCCACCCAGAGAGTAGGGCGAGATAATAAGATAATTGGTACTTTACCCTCTTCAACTTGCAAAATGCTCTTTGGGGTTTGTATAGTATTCAGTTAATTCATTCTTTGCTTAGTGATATCATTTCTTTTACTCTAAGTCTTTGGGGTAATAAAATGTGTTTTCTCTCTCTCTCTCTCTCTCTCTCTCTCTCTCTCTCTCTCAAATAAAACATTCAACAGAAAACACCCCTTTCAGCAGGTTCTATCACAGTGAGAACTGGCTCTTAAGAAAAAGTAAAGACATTTTTACTCCTCTCCGATTTTTAAGAAAGACATACATGTCTGACATTTGCTTATATGTAAAATAAAATCATATTTATTGTTTCCAAATATTGAGTTAATTATTCATTTCTGTCCTGGAGTTTGCCCCATGCTTGATTGCATGTGATCAGGAATAGAAGGTGTTCTCTGTAGTAAAGGATTCACGTATGTTGGATGAAAGGAACTAAAATGGCCCTGTACATGTGCAGAAGGAGAGCAAGTCCAAGCTGAGTCTATATTTTTTTCTCCTCAAGCTCCTATCCTAGAAAGAACTGAAAGCTACATTTGCAATGTGGTTTGACAAGTAAGTTGATGCAGGGACATACAGCAATTATAGGTGTTACCTAAAGCTCCAAGCAGGTCTTTAAGTAAGGTGAAGAGAAATAAACCTGATGAACTAAAAAATATGCTAAAAATGACAAAAGCTGGGAGGGTATCAGTCAGCTATATTTAAAAAAAAAAATATAGTACGTGTACTGTTGATATGGTACTTGATTGCAGATCTAAGTTTAAAATACAAAGATTCAAATCTCCATGGGTACAAAAATCTAATTGGCTAGAAGTCATATTTATTTCTGTATATGAGCTAAAAAGCATAAATGAGAGTGCACCCAGCTAGTCATAACCTGGATTAGATTAGAGTTTTTTTCATTGACATGCACTGTGATTTAGGAAGTTATTCTGGAAGATCAAAAATTTCTGACTAGTATGTGTGATAAAATATAGTTTATATCTATGGCAGAAAGATTTATAACAAATTAATTCAATTCTGCAGGAACGTATTGAACACTCCAACATACTTGGCACAGTCCTATAACATGGCTGAGGAATATCAAACCAGAATGACATGTTTCTAGGGCAAGCTTTTTCACTAATGCTCCTTGGTGGTCCTCCCTCCCTGCACAGTCCCCTCCCCTTTATGTGGGGTGGACATCGGGACTTGCCTTTAATGAACAGAATATTACAAAGTGATGAAAGGTCACTTCCAATGTTAAGTTATAAAAGATGGTAACTCTCGTCTTTTTGTCTCTGTCTTTCTGTCTGTACGAATGTGCTTCCTCTGATCATGTGAGATGTTCGTTGCCCAATAGGGTGGCTCGTTTGGCAATGATCTTAAGGAAGCTTCCGGTCAACAGCAAGCAAGGAACTGAGGCTCTCGGTCCACCTCGAGAGCCCAAATCTTGCCAACAACTCCATGCATATACTTGGGAGCAGAAACGCCCCCAGTTGAGCCTTTACATGAGACCACAACCCTGCCCTGCCCTGTTACTGCAGATTTGTGAGATCCCACAGCAGAGGATCAAGCTCACAACCTGGGCACAGACAGAGAGACAATAAATGGTGTCGTTTCAAGCCCCTAACTTTACGGTAACTTGTTACCCAGTAACCACTTACCCAGTAACCCTCCATGACTTATGTCTACTTGTGCCTTGAGAGCTTACAGCTTTAATTCCTGCTTCCTCACAGTCGCACAGCCTTTCGCTCACCAAGTCGTCTGTTCTAAATTAACATTTCTCAGGAATTTAAAAAAATTAATCTTTAGCCCAGCCAGTGTAGCTCAGCGGTTAAGCATCGACCCATGCACCAAAAGGTAACCAGTTTGATTCCTGGTCAGGGCACATGCCCAGGTTGTGGGCCTGATCCCCAGTGGGGGGGCATGCAGGAGGCGGCCCATCGATGTTCTTTCTCATCGATGTTTCTATCTCTCTCTCCCTCTCCCTTCCTCTCTCTCTAAAAATCAAGAAAAAAATTTAGAAAAAAATAATTTATCTTTATTGTTCAAAGTATTACAGATGTTCCCCCTCTCTTCCCCCTTTACCCCCTCCTCCCCACTTCTCCCCCTACCCAACCCCTGCCTTTACTACACTGCCGTCTGTGTCCATTGGTTATGCAAATATGCATACAAGTTCTTTGGCTTATCTCTCCCCCCAGCACTCGCCCCTTCCCTCTGAGGTTCATCAGTCCTTGGGAACTGATTTTTACTTCAATAAATAAAGGTGAAACAAATCATCACTCAGACATATCCATCTTAGCTTATTAAAAGAAATTAGCAATAACCATAACATGAGACTGTGTGATTAACAGGTTCTGAAAGCTCCATGTGTGAGTTACAAAGGAAGACACACTCACAAGGTGTTATTAAAAATGTAGAGTTCCAAATATTACTGGAAAAAGTATTCACACACACTGCTGGATAAAAAAAAACATCCACAGCAAACTCAGTTGATCATGAGAAGATGTCTGTAAAGCAGCTGTAATTAAAAGCGTGGTGAGCCACAGCAACTCACAGTGATGCTGAGCGCAAGGTGGCCGTGCAGCAGGCTCCCCTCTGAGTGCTCTGAGTGTGCACTGAGCTGTCCACCTGAGTGTGCACTGAGTGTGCACTGAACTGTCCACCTAAGTGTGCATCGAGTGTACACTGAGCTGTCCACCTGAGTGTGCA